TTCAGGAGGTGTTGCAAAACCTTAAAGGTCTGGTGGATTTTTCTCTCCATATCTTTTTTTTTAATCCTTCATTATTTTAGGGGCAGTGGAAAGTCAGTGTATAGTACAGTAATGCCAGAAACAAATTGGGGGAGAGAATAATGTTTTTTGTTTTATTGTTTTAGTCCAGACTGCCCAAATTGAATAACATTTTAAAAAATAAAGTCAAAACAACTTGTAATAGGGTACTTCTACAAAATATTTGTCACTAATGAAACAGATTTTGGAATATAGTTTATAAAGATGGATTAAGTTATTCTGGCAAAATAAATGAAATTTGATGTCTTTGGGCCTATTTCTTTAATGAAGATAAAGCTCTGCTTTATATATTTTCCATGTGTTCCAGTAAGCATTAGTAACAAACTCAGATATATCTATGAACAAAACTAATATTCCCTGAATGAGTTTGGGGCCAATCTGTTTGGCAGGAAACAGACCGTCCAGAGACCTTATGAACAAAACATCTTTTTGTTGTTTTGATTATTCATTTGGTTATGGGATTACTTTTCTTAAACTAATAATGCCAGGAAGAGCAAACATTCATGCAAAATGTTAATTATGTCTCCAGATCTCTTGTGAGGATATTTTACAAGTCTCCTCCCTTGAATATCACCTGAAAATGAATAAATACATTAAGTAAGATTGCCACCTTCAAATTTATCCAGGTGTGTGTGTAGGGAGGAATTATGGTAGTAGACTGGATAGACTTGGACTCAATATCAGTTGTTTTATGTTTAATTCTATGAGTCTGTACTTTGTTTCTCTGGATCTCACCAAGGAAACATATCCAGATACTATATCCCACAGCTACTATTACCACAGAACCATGCTGCTATTCCCTCTTTTTTTTTCTTGCTGCCTTTTGATCTTTTTCATGTGACTTTATCCAAGCAGTTGGATGGCTATTGAGGAAGGACATGAGTAAGACTTTGCCACAGCAGATGAAATAACACACTTAGGCTCTTGGTTGAATGTCCCGAGGCTATATTTTGCAAGTATGAGGTTCAAAACCATGCAGAAATGAAAAACGTTGTTCCAACAAGTTTGGCAAGTCTTGTTATTTTATATATTTGGTTCAGGGATGATATCCACTTACCCGCCAAAGTACAATGCATGCATGTATGTGGTCAGCTGGCCATGCCATTTTTTCATGTTATAAAGCTCCCCTGTGATCTATTGCCTTTCCTATATTGTTAAATGCATACTTAGTATTCTTACATTAATATTAAAGAGACAAATACCTCTTCCATAATTTCATTAATGTAAACATTTGGGAAGGGGATGAGTGGAATTCAATGCAACTTTAGCATTGTAAGTTGAATCACCAAAAAAACCTCTTTCTGTAGATGGTTCAGGCACAAAGACATGTCAATTGGCTTTAGAGAAACAATAGCACTGGACAGCAGAGAATTACTTCCCTGATAATCTCAGAGAAAAGAGTTAATTTTCTGTTCTGTTGAGTTTCCCTATATACGTGCTATTCCCCTATAGACTGTGATCAAACATAGCAAGAAATTCTGTGTATTTTTTAGGATTACACAAACATTACAGAGGATTTAGGGGTAAATAAGGGGCTTGAAGACCAAAGCCACTTTTTAGTGCTTTTTAAAAAAGCCTTAAATCCTACAACCACAATTTTATATTCTCTTTTTCATTAAGAGGGAGAAAGATGAATTGACATCCTTACTGTTAAGTATAGAGAATGATTGTTTGTCATTCTTTCTTTAGCTCGCTCCGTTCCATGACAAACTTGTTTCCTGTAATATTTTTGAAACTAACTTGGAATATAATTATGACATAACCTGTCAGTGAACTATGCAGTTGCTCAGTGGTTTTTCTATTCAAAGATTAAAACAGAAAACCCTGAAGTTTTGTTGATGTAATTTTGTCTGACAGTCTTTCATTTAGTCTGATGTTGGGAATGAGAAAAAAAAACACCATTCTTTTTAGGGTAAAAGAACAGTGGGGTTGCTTGTTTTATTCTGTTCTGCATAAAAATTGAGCTGGCCAGGTGAAAACAGAATAAAGAAAATGCCAATACCCACTGTAAAATGAAAAATAAAAAATAGAAAGGCCATGATCCATCAAACAGGTATACTGAAGACCATAGATTTCAGTAAGTGTGCCTAATTTTGTGTAGGGTTGTAGCTAATAAGCTATTTACAGAGTTTAAGAGGAGACATTGATATTTCATATTACACATGTAATGTAGTAATGTATGCATACCTATCATCTTAGTGTAAATAATGCATTGTAATGTAGTTAAGTAGTCTGTAATTGATCAGTGGTCAAGTTCCATTGTAGTGTTGTAGATTTTTTTAAATGTCTTCAGCAAAACAGAAAAGGAGTACTTGGTTTTCAAGCTACTTAGATGTGTAGAGCATGAGGAAATGCGCGCTATTCCGACTTTTTCCATCTGCTTTTAATATGGCCACTATTTAGAGAGATGGGCGTCATGCACTGCAATTCAAAGACACTGCATTATGGTTACTGTTGCAATCCAACTGATTCAGTTGTACACAAACACAGCCGTTTTGCCTGTAGCAGGCCTGGACCATGCATGTCTCGGTCTAGGGGTCCTCTTTGTGTGATGGATGCTTGGAAGTTCTCCATTCCACTTGCAATGTAACATGTGAAGCCACACTCCATGCTGAGGCCTTTACACACAAAAGTCCATTGCAAATCCTCTTCAGGGGAAAGTGGGTCAGGAACCACAAAAATAAAAAAGGGCCTCCTCATGAAGTAAAAAATCCCATCATTATGATGCCCCATAATTTATTGTGTAAATAGAGGAAGCTTGAATAGTCTTGGAACCAATGAAGATGTGGAGAGTGGTTTGTAGGTTTATTTGTTTGTTAGTTCTTTCCTCTTCCTTAGACATAACCATCCTGAAAAGGCTTCTAATGTTTTTGAGGGCACTTCAGTAGCACTGATGAGTGCACAAAAACAGAAGCCCCAGAGCTGCCATTTTGATTTCAGTCATGATGAAGGAAGGAGTTATATTCCCCACCCCACCTGCCATAACCCCAAAATTACAAATTTCATGTATAACAAATGACATATATATTAATTGCATTCTTGCAATTCTGCACTTCTAGTTTTGCTCATAATGTTCAAAGTGTGGAACAGAAAAATCCGATTTAGGATTTTTGTAGTTTGATTGTGAAGTTGATGATAGTTGGTAGGAGAAAGTTTTGGTCCAGCTTAAAGAAGCTTTATTATAGCTTTCTCTTAACTTTCCAAAACCCTGAATAGAAAGTGGTGGTATTAATATATGAAAAAAGAAACAGAAGATAGTATTAAAATAATTTCATAATCTGTTTTTTTCCCATTTAAGAGAGTGAATCAATTTGAAAAAAAAACATAAAATGTGGCTCATTATTGGTGTTTTTTAAGCAATTTCTATTTTTATTGACAATATTGAAAATCAAAGAGAATAGTGAAGTGATACAGAAATTTAGGGTGAAATAATTCTATCATGGCTTCTTCAAAATTCTAGAGAACACTTAGACAAATTACTTGTGTTTTCATTCTAAAATCTGAATGAATTTAATTATGTGTTTCATTTATTCGTACTCTCTTGTTCCTCTTTTGATCACCCCAAGTGTTAAAATCTGATATTCAAAATGCTTTGCTCACCACAAATAGAACTGATTGCTGTGATATCCTTGTTGTGATTACAGCATACATAAATTTGCAGAGGTCAACCATCAGTTGATAACCCTAACAATAAACTATTTGGCATGAAGAAAGTGCAAAAGCTGGAATAATTAGAATAATTTTTTCCCCAAAAAATTCATTGGTGGGCAAAAATGGTTTTGGGGGAGGGAAGTAAAGAAGGAATGATGCTTGCAACCAGGATTTAAGTACAGAGGACTACATGAACTCTCCACATTTACATTACAAAGCTTTTTTTTTTAACCCTCATATAGTTTAGTTCTCATGTAGTCATGATCAGCATCATGTAATAACAGAGAGGGGCCAATCAAGTACACATAAGTCAGTCATGATCAGCCAATGTAGGACTAGAATGAGTGGTACTAGAATCAGATACTGGTATAATTGTCTCAAAACAGATTGGCAAAATCTGATTCATAGAACAGTATCGCTTAAAATGCCCTAATTTCAGGATTTGTCATCCATTTCCCTTTCGCACAGGAAGGAAGTCAATCTCTGATTGGGTTTCCATGTTCCATTAAGTCAAACCATGGCTTGTTAGGTTTTGACTTGGCGCATCGTGTAGAGCTGGCCAATTACGTTTCATTGAGCTGTTTTGAAAAGTTCATCCATGAGATGCCAAGCATTTGCTCCTGACCTGTCAAAGTCTTGCTTGGATCGCTGCATTCACCTAATCTGTCTCAGGGAAGTGACCAGGTGGGAGGATCCCACCTTACAGAATGGTTCATTCTCCCCCCTCCACCCGCCCCCTTATACACCAGAGATTCACTGGTTTGATAGAAAGGACTACTTAGAAAGTAGCATCAATAGCTGGTTTTCAAGGGTAAACGTGGTTTTGATCGTCAATGGCAGAAAGCCATAGAGTGGGCTTTGTCCTTATAAATGTTTTTGTTGGAAGATGGTTAAGCTAAAGGATGTCCTTTTATTTTCAACATTAAAAATGCAGGATTCCTCTTGGAGTTTCACAAGTGTTCCTAATCCTGTGTTACATAAATACTGTCAATAAAAATATAATGTTGTAAAAAATAGTGAACGGAAGCACAGCCCAGAGACATGGTATGATGACAATGTTTTAGAATTAATGCATGAGGTAGAAATGCTGTTTTTTCTCAAGTTATAAAAGCATGGAAGATGTTAACTTAAATGTTGGCAAAAAAAAAAAAAGAAAAGAAAGTCACATGTTATGTTAAAGTCTGGTTAAGTAAGCAAAACATTGTTTGCACTAGTTGTCACCCCTAATCACACCATGTTTTGTTTATATCCTTAGATCTGGTGGAATGTACATCTTCTATGTCACCAGATCAAGAAAGGAGTTCAGAAAAAAAATTATTTTTTTCTAATTTTTTACCTGTAGCAAAGTTTGTATTTTTTGAATTGGAAGCAAAATGTTTTTGTCTTATTGTCTCAAATGTTTATGTACTACCTTTTTGAAAACATGAAGTATAAGTTTATGCTGTTTTACAGATTTAAAATAAATTCTTACTACACTGCCAACAAATCCAAAGACATTGTCTCACTTATTTGCTTAGATAGAATTGCAATTGTGTACTCTTCCCAAAACATCTAGATCAGTATTTCTCAGTCTTGGCAAAGATGCACGGATGTCACCTCCTAGAATTCCCTTGCCAGCAGGAAGGAAGCAGAAGCAATTAAATCATATATTTCTCTATTAAGCAGATTATTTACTTAACTACCAATGGCTCCACCCAGGGTCCTTCTCAATGGAGACATAAAGAATAAAACATGGGATATTTCCCATTTAAGCACATACCCTACTACTGAGACATGTCCCATATAATTTTACTGTGTGAACAGATTTCATGCCCTAGAAGGAACACCCCAGAGAGAACAAGTCAACTTAGAGCAGATAGGTCTCCTAAGAAGCTTCTAAGGAGCAACAGAAGCACAATTCCTATGAAATCTTGAAATCCATTACATTGGATATTTATTTTATTTCACTTTTTAGTCCCAAAAGAATGTTACAAAGGAGGGAGGGATGGACATGTCTGTTAGGACTACCAGATCTGAGCTGTGACAAACAACCACTAGATGGCCACCAAGAGATACAGAAAATTCAAATTTCTTAGCAGCCATCTAGTAGCCTTGTTCTTGTAGCCCAAACCAATTGCCTGTGAAGCACCTGATATGATTCCACTCTGAAAAGCCAGTAGTTTAAGCATGAAGTGATCATAATCTTCATTTGGAGAAAAAGCAAAAAAAAATATGGTCATTTCCTGCCCAAATTCCTGGAATGCAGATATAAAAACTATATATGTTATATTTAGAATAGAATACAGCTGGAAGGGACCTTGGAGGTCTTCTAGTCCAGCCCCCTCAAGCAGGAGGCCCTATACCAGTGGTGACTAACCTTTTTCGGCTCCCGTGCCTAAAATTGCACGTGCATACCAGCACCCAGAAGGCAATGCGCGCTGCCCCCCCCCACACACTGTGCATGCATGTGACCCCCCACGCGTCTCTGCGCATGCGACCCCCGTGCACCATGCATCTCTGTATGTGCGTGCACAATCCTCCCGTAAACGCCATGCATCTGCGCGTGTGCTTGAGACCCCCATGTGCACCCGACGATCAGTTGTCGGGTGGGTGGCGCACACGCATGCGCAGTGGGGCTCTTCCGGGCGGCCTCTCGTGTGCCGGCAGGTTCGCCATCACGGCCCTATTCCAGTTCAGACACGTGATTGTTTTAAAAACCTCCAGTGAGGGAGCGCCCGCGATTTCTGAAGGCAAGCTGTTCCGCTAGTTAATTGTCCCCACCGTTAGGAAGTTTCTCCTTAATTCCAGGTTACTTCTCTCCTTGATGAGTTTCAAACCATTGTTTCTTGTCCTGCTCTCTGGTGCTTTGGAGAATAATTTGACCCCGTCTTCTTTGGGGCAGCCCCTCAAATATTGGAATACTGCTATTATGTCATTTAGAACAATGACACTGAATAGTTTCCCCAAATTACAAGTCTAAAATAATGAAATATTTCTGAGTGTTACTCAATTCATGGAGAAGTTCTATACCTTCAGGTCCTTTGTGGAGCACAGACTAAACTGAAGATTATGTACCTTTTCTATGGAAAACCAACATATTTTATTATTTGGAAGACAAGTTAAATAGGCTACTTTTACTGTATGGTTTGGCACACAGAAATAGAAAACAATGTTTCTTAAAACCCTTATTCTCTACTACCTTATAAAACAGGTGCAAAAAAGTTGATATAATCTGTTTTTTGTCTAATGTTGAACTTTTATCATACCAAGAGAGCACTAAGCACTAAAGCAGCATATAATATTCAAAATGAGTAACATTTCTATCTTGCACCACTAAAGAACTATTTAAGAGGATGCAGATCCGAGTCAATGGTGTCCTGTTAAAGCATTTATTCCCATAAGAATTACACTTTTTAACAGATTTGTTGTTTTCTGAGGTTCTCGCGGGTATTTGTATGTGGATCTTTGGTTATTCGGGTTCTCTCCCGCGTAAGATTCAAAGTATCTAGGCAATGTTTCGGCGAGGTCCCACTCGCCATCTTCAGGCTGGTGCTTTCGGCTTAGTGCCAGTGCAAGCAGTGTGTGACCGGAGCTGCCATCTCTCTAT